TATTTAGGGATAAACACGTAACCTGATTTTCAAAATCAGGCAAGTGTTTTTTTAAATATTATTATTATTAATGTCTTTGTTCGTATGTTTTTTGTTTTCAACCGGAAATCTTGCATTGTGAGTGTTCTTCATAAAGTCGTACGACGTCAAAGAGAGTGCGTCTTTCGCAGAATATTTACAGTGCCAAGTTACGCAGACTTCTGAAGCCATGAGATACTAGGCTTTATTCTGATTATCTCAATATAGGACATTAATTTCGGTGGTATAGACAATGATAATGCGGACAATATTGGCCCGAACGTTCCACATTCTGACAAACCCAATCCGGAAGCTGGTGCATTTCTTGAGTTTGTTAATTTTTTTGACCATTATATTATGGTGGCAAGGAACAGCCACAATGATGAGGAGGCATTTTCATGTTTATTTCGTCTTTTGGGGGGGAGGGGGGTGGCAGCCTCAAAGATGCGGTCTCTTTGGATACTGCAATCCCACAAGACTTGGGCCACACGAGGTAGAGGGTTATAATCAAGGTGATAATGCTACTAAGACGCAAGGAGCTATCAGGGAAGGAAAACGCTTTAGAACGAACCAGAACCCAATCCTAAGCAGAAAACAAAAATAAACCTCTACTCTTGTTAAAAAAAAACTGAGAGTAGTGTCAACCGGGCGATAGGCTGTCCTCTCACAAAGTCTCTAATTAAGGGCATTCCCAAATATCTAGATGTGACTCACAAATTATCTTGGCTTCAAACTTTAAAAAATCATTTCTTTCCACACTCGGCAATGCTACTCCACCATTACTCCTGCTCCTCAACAAAGACGTACACACACACACACACACACACACACACACACATATATATATATATATATATATATATATATATATATATATATATATATATATATATACACACACACATTGGGTTGGTGCATAATTATCAGGCGTTTTTGTAGGCGAGTTATTTGTTAATAAAAATTGCTGTTTTGTTTACTTTTTTAATAAAAATATTTTTTTTATGAGTAACATTTATAAAATCAAAATTGTGGTTGAGTTTATTTCTCTGTATGAATAGTGCATTTGGTAAATTGTTATTTATGATGTCTCTTGTACTCATATATGTGTGTGTGTATGTATGTATGTATGTATGTATGTGTGTGTGTATGTATGTATAAATTGTTATTTATGATGTCTCTTGTGCTCATATATATGTGTGTGTATGTATGTATGTATGTATGTATGTATGTATGTATGTATGTATGTATGTATGTATATATAATTACAGAAAATCAAACACTTACAATCCAATAGCTGATAATTTTTATTCCATGAGAGCTCTAAAAAGCAGCTCTTAATCTCAAACAAAAAAGATTGAGAGCTGCTTTAAAGCTCTCATTAAATAAAAATCATTACCTATGGGATTTTAAGTGTTTGATATTCTTTAATTAATAATAATTTTGCTCTGTCTTTTGACATAGAGCTCTCCCTGGATCTATATCCTTCTGGAAATCCCATACGGATTACCATATAGTATTATTATATATATATATATATATATATATATATATATATATATATATATATATATACATCCAGCCAATTAAAATCAGAAGCCATGAGAGCTGTAACTGGTGTAGTATTAGATCACTTATTATTATTATTATTATTATTATTTAAAAATAGGAAAAATAGGAACTAGGCTGTCCAGCTTTAGTAACATGTGGAATGTTACGGAAATAATGCTTCCTATTTATTGCCACGGAAACTACAACAGATACAATGAGATACAGGGAGTTTTCAACTTCAAACAACTTTTCTACATAGTCAACAGTAATGTCGTTTCCTTTTCGATCAATTATTAAAAGTAATATTTGCGCGACACTTGTAAGAAATCAGTATTTGATTTCCAAACAAAAACTTTTTTGATAAGTATTATTCATGATTTTTGTTAAACACAAAAATAACAATTTCAATTGTCCTTTCTTATCTGCAAATAAAATGCTCATTACCTACTTGTGTATCTTTCTATCTATTTCTGGCAAGTGTTTTTAATCTTTCCACAATTTTTTTTAATTAGTTATTTTGCTACCTACACTGGGCTTCTAGTTCATTCTAAGAATCCTTGCTCCCTTCTCCATAATCCGATACTAGATCACACAGGGACTCGTCATGGGTATTTTGAGGAAGAAAACGATTTAGATTATCATCCCTTCCTTCCAGCGATGACATGTCGAACACGTGATATACGCATGGAGACTTGGGCCAAAAGCACGCTGAATGACCTTTTGAACCGTTGCTTCAGTGATTCACCTTTCAGAAAACCAAGTGAACAAGGTCTGGCTGGATAAAGCTTAAACTTTTGCTTTGCTATTCACTTGATGTTAGTTTTGTTCCTTTTTTTCTCGAGGGGGTAGTTAATATATTTTTTTTAATTTTTATATACATTTGTGCATATAAGCATATTTTTATCGGTAGATAGACTTTTTCGATGTGAATTAAAAATTTAATACATATTTCATTCATATTAATTAAATAGGTTAAATATAAACAAGTCAAAATTCATAATTATAAGAATCTTGAATAATCATTATCGGTTATACAGTGTAACCCGGATATAAGAGAGTTGTCGGGACCGGAGAAGTCTCATATATCCGGGTTTCTCTTATATCCGGGTTTGGTCTATTTTATATACATTAACACAGGCTCTAATTTGGGACCAGAGAAAATCTCTCTTATATCCGGGTTTCTCTTATATCCGGGTCTCTTATATCCAGGTTACACTGTAACTCCAACTAAAATATAAAAAAGTTTATCTAAGTACGGGTGTCAACAATTTTTTTTTAAATGTTCTTTTTTAGAAAATCTTGGTAAAAATATTTTTTTACATCTGTTACTCACCACTAATTTAATTTTATGAAATTTCGAGAAATTCATTTTTACGGCTTAAAGTTTATATTAGTTATACCTTATGAGGACAAGTTCTCCGAGAATTTAAATCATCAATTTTCGGTGGATCAAACAGTACCTCCAGTTACTGAAAATTTGCTCCGAATCGTAAAATAGAAAATGCAGTAAAACTAAGACATTATTTAATTAGAAAAGCTTTTAATTGCTTTTATAAATAAAATATATTATGGACACTATTTTCTTAAAGAAAGTTTTTCGATGAATAATAAATTTTTACAAGAGTTTTTTTTATATATTTTTGAATTTTAATTAGACTAATTTATGTACTTTTAATTTTTTAAATTCTGCATTAATTTTTAATGATCAAGTGATATTGTTATTAAGTAAAAAGTATATTTGCTAATCACAAATGGAAACGCTTACTACAATTCAACGACCCACAATATTTTAAAGAGAATTTTTAATTTTCTGTGTGTAAACGTGCCAATTTTTGTAAATACAGACGTCCATACCCGACATTATCAGAAAATAAGAGCGATATCTATAGTAAATTTATAATTTATTGTTAATTTTCAAACATTTCCTCAACAAGCGTCTTCGTAAGACTACAAATTCAAAGTAACTAAAATTCAATATAAATATTTAGAATATTTAAAATATTTTAACTTTCTAAGATTGATGGGTAGTTAAAATAAATGATCTAAAAAGGCACTTATATTGTATTCCTCATCTAATTTTACTACAAGTATTTTCCACTTACCTCAATATCGCAAACGTCAGCTTATTGATAAGTGTCAACTCTCCATTAAACACCGACAATCGGGTTAAGAAAATGATTTTCTGCGATATTTTAAAATAAAAATAAGTTATATTTGTTTTAATTTCAATTAATTAAGTTTTAAACCAGTTAATCTTCCTCAAATAAAGTTTCAGGAAAGTATATTTTATTTTTGAATTTTTTCTAATAAAGAGAATTATATTGTGTAAACAGATTTGTCAATATGGCCGATTCTGACGACGTAAATAAACATTCCATTCAATTTAAATTCGATTTGAAATACAAAAAATGGTTTTGCTTATTGGAAATATTAAATTTAATCTATTAGCTTGCAATAAAAAATAAAATATTCAACAAAGATTTTTTTTTCTTTTTAAAACGCATTTTAAACCCTAGCTATCGCTTTTTTGAAAGTACCTAATTTTATTCAATTATTCACTAGTTTTTGCAATGATTTGTTACCACTTATCAATCAGTCCTTCGATACATTTTGACTAACATTCTGTCAGTTTTGATGTGAAAAGTTTTTCGACGTCCTCTTTTTCATTAGAGCAATTTTTCCCCATCATAGCGTTTTGCAGGGAACAAAAAAATTAACAATCGGTTAGTGCATGGTCAGGCAAATAGTGTGGTTAAGGTAGAACAGACTGTGTAGGTTTTGTCGGGTTTTCAAAGCAAGCAATGTTAAGGGTAGGTATGTAGTGTTTGAAAAAAAAAGCTTCAATTATATTTAACGGTGTTTTACAATTGTATTTAAAATGTTAAAATGGCAATATTATCGGCAACGGATTTTTATATGCGCGGTAAGTGAGATATGAGTGTTAAGTGCTTACAAACTGTGACTAAGATCACTCTCAAGCAGTTAGATAGACGTCGACTAAAAGAACAGAGTTTTAAGTAATATAGTTGAAAATGGCTAAAGAATAAAACGCTTCAGACAATAATAATTACAGTCAGTTTCTATACTCTCTTGATCCACCAAAAAGGAAAATTGTAAAAGCACAAGGTTTATTTGTTTTTTGGTTTTCGTTTTTTTTTTTTTGTTGTTGTTGTTGTTGTTTTTTTTTTTTTTTGGTAGGGTGTCTTTTTTTTACGGTTTTTTTTACTTTTTTGCAGATTATTAAAGCCAGATAATATTTTTATATTTTGAGAATTTTTGGAGATAAAAATGATTTACTGAAACAATTCCTACTAATTAACCCATAACTGGGGGTAGAAGGGTACTTGCGCGTAAGTGAATATAACAAAGCCAACTGGAATTGGAATTGGAATTCGGGTCTCCGTTATCCATTACACTAGCCGCTCATCCGAGTTTACATCCCCCGGTATTCCTAAGTTGTCCCTCATCTAGGTACTAACCAGTCTTTACGTTGCTTAACTTCGGTGATTGTATGAGAAACGGTGTTTCAATGTGATATGGCCGTATACGTTTAAGGACTATAGAAAAAACATTCCCTTGTTCGTTTCTCTAGAACATGTATAAAAGAAGAACTGCTTCCTGCATCTATGTGTATGTATGTGTGTGTGATATATAAGTAAAACTGGATCAAATATATGATCGAAATCGACAAAGACTCCTGGTGGGGAATAAGCGCCCATTAGTTGCATTTGCAGGTTTAAATATACCTGGGATATGGATTTAAGTACAAAAATGTCATAATATTAAAAAGTATATAAAAAATATCACCACTTAATTTTGTTCATTCTTGCAACTTACAAACGACTTTTAATATGAAAATGCATTGGTCAATGATTTTTACTATGAAGAGGCATTCCTATTGAGTTTTTACTACAAAAATGTACTACTAATGAAATCTTTATTACTATAAAAGTCTGTGAACGTTGCTTGTGTGTTTGCCAGAAGTCATATATGGTGAGTGGTGAAAAAAACGCTCTCTTTTTCAAACTTCTCTTAATTGCGTGTGTGCTTATTTTTATTTCAACTTTTTTCAAACAGACAGTTTTTTAATGTTGAAAGGAACTTCAATAACTGTAAATAAAATGATTTTTAAAATATTTCTACCTTCACAAACTCTTCATGAAACTAAATGCAAACAGTAAACAAGGATGACCCAACGGGTCACGTGTGGTCTAGTTTGCTATAAATATGCATTGCCAATGATTTTTAATATGAAAAAGTATGTTGAAATGTTCCTTTTTAGAAAAGCTTGGTAAAAAATATTTTACTATTTAAATATTTTACTATTTTTAATATGAAAATGTATGACCAATGATTTTTACTTTGAAAATCTATTGGCCAATGATTTTTGTAAAAATAATATTTTATTATCGCTTTCCAAATCATTTCTCGTTCATCACTGTTATTTCGTTTTGTTTGGGATTATTAATATAATCCTTGGGTCAAATCTAACCTATATTTTTTCTAAATAAAATTTTAATTAAAAGTTTTAATTAAATTCTATACTTTACACCTAAATTATAAATATCTTAATTTATATTTTTAATTATAAATATTCACTATTTTCTTTGTATATACGTAATTTATTTTTTGTTATTATTTTTAATTTTATTTATTTCATTTTAATTTTTATCAAATCACCATATTTACATCTTTATATTTGCTATGTACAAATTCGTTTGAAATCACAAATTTTAGTATTTCTATATTTAAATATTTCACGAATATTTATCTTGAATTTTCATTAAGATGTTAAAATTTATCCGAATTGACGACAGTGTTTAAAGTAACAGGTTTACTATAGGTTTGATGCTTTCAGTTTTTTGTTTTTTTCCGAAATACTCGTTGATCGCGAAACGTCAAGATAATATAAACAATAAACTGGTTTTCACCAGATACTTCCACTTGGTTGCGTAAAAACAGCATAGCAAGATGAAAAAAGGCCTCAAACTCAATAAAAACAAAGTTTTGTCATCAGAATGTTTATGTCAGTATTAAGAGGAAAAAAAAATTTTTTATTATCTGTTACTCCTTTGTAGCACGTTATAAATTTTGGTTAAAATTTTTTCTTTTTTTTTTTTTACGTCAGCGGCGGAACAGAGATAAAGGTTAATTATTTTTGCGTTTTTCTTGCAAAATTCAAATAATTCTCGGATTTTAATCAAACTTTCAGGACATATTCAGAAATGAATGAAATTATTTTTGAAATTTTTTGGTAAAAAATATTTGTTCTTACATATGTTACCACCCACTCACTTAATTTCATGAAATTTCGAGAAATTAAATTTTTAGGGTGAGGGATTTTTATTAGTTAAAATCGGGACTCTTTGGAGAAAGTAAATCACAATTTTTTTTTTTTTTTTTTTTTTTTTTTTGTAAAACAGTTACACGTTTCATCAAAAAATCTGCTCTGAATTGTAAAATAAAAAATGCAATAAAACTATAACATTACTTAATTAGAAAAGCTTTTAATTACTTTTGTAAATAAGTTATAATAAGGACACTATTGATATAAACAATGAACTGGTTTTTCCACATTCCATCCAATGTTTTTTTATCAAATGTAATTCTTTAAGCTTCCATTTTAGAAGGAATTTTATTTTATGAGTTTTTTTCTCTCATTATTACTTTTTTATTCATTACATTAATTTGATAATAATACGAAAAAAATTAAAATATTAACATGAAAAGAAAATTTAGAATGACTTCCAGTCTCAGTCAGACGCTAACAATGACCATTCAGGAGTCTCTACTAAACGAACAATATCTTTTCTATTTGATTACAAGTGAGAAGATTTATTCGACTTGAATTATCATTGTTTAATAAACTACTTGGTTAAAAGAAAAATTACAATCATAACAATATAAATATATTCTTTTTGTTTCTTTTATTGATATTATGTATTAAATCATATCTTATATAAGTAAAAGTAATATTTGTCTTTCTGTACTTATAGGTCAGAGCCATAACACTGAAACGTTAGATGAAAATAACCGCGTTTAGTGTAGAATAGTTGATGAAGAGTTCAAAGTTTTACCCCTGAACTTCAACCTAAAATACCCATGTCAAATAAGTGCAAAAGTATTTCTTTGGGCAGTTAATCTTCTGTAGGAAAAAAAAAGTCTACTGCAAATCCATTACACGTGTAAATTGGATTCAAGTGGCTGAGATATGACTGATTATTTTTTCTAACGCTTATTTAAAGCCGAAACATATTTTTGGAATGTAAGAACAATTCTTGTTTTCTTTTCTTATTTTTTGTTTTTGTTTTTGGCGAGTGAATATTGGGTATTTTTAGAATAGCAATAATTTTTCCATATGCAGATCCTACCATTTAGCCCATAGGTGCGAGGAAGAGAGGGATTCATGCCTTTCCCGAGTATCTTTGCGCATAAATAAATGTAAGAAACCTGACTAAAATTCGAACTCAGCTCCCAGATTTCTCATTCCGAGCCGCTTTCTATGACACCACACGAACATCCACGTCTGAGACATAAAAAGGAGCGTATCGTTATGCTGTTACTAAATACTAACCGACAAAAAGAAGAATAATCCTATTTTAAATAGATTCAAATGATTTCCATTGCCAAGTAAATGGTTTTTTATTAGAAAAAAATGTCTTTTCTACTTGTGGAGGTTGGCGCAGAATGTTCGTTTTTACATTCAAAATGAAATAACGCTAAGCAAAATTTGTTTTGGAGGGTTTATTTCCTCTTTTATAAATACAAATCGTTCGACAGTTCGTAGCACGCGGTACATTGGAACAGAAAGTGAGATCCCACCGTCTTAGTATCAGGCAATCGTCCTAATTACTTTTTCTTTTCTTTTTTTTTTTTTTTTTTTTTTTTGGTAGTTAGAGGATTGTATCAGTTTGTTTCGCTTTCTGTCAAAAGGGTAAAGAGAAATGATGTCGAGGCCCTCTTTTTTCTGGATTTATATTGGTGGGTAAGCAATCGGGGAGTACGGTGAGTGCTGTAGTATTGTCATTCGATTTGGTACAGGGTCTTTGATCTTTTGCTTTGCTTATCCAAGTACCTGGTTTCAGAAGCGAAGTTAGCCGATTGACCTGTCCTTATATTAACGAGATAAGTAGGTGATACTTTTCAGGGGTTTTAATAAATAGTATTTTATTTTTTTACTAACCGTGACCTACAACTAGATACTTACTAAGTGAAATTCTACAGTCGACTACAAACCTAAAAGGCAACTGTAAAATCTTCTTTACATCTTCGCTAGTTCTCCTTTCAATCAATATAAATGTACCCTTAGCTGCATAATAGACATGAGAGAAATTTACAACCCCCATTTATTGCATATTGAGAAAAATTTCACTCCTATCCGACCACTTGATTATTATGTTAAGATCACCGTCCCTTGTATTACTACTAAGAATATTATTGTATTACTTGTATTATTACTAAGATTTTATGATTTGAAAGAATGTATAGCATCGACAACATGTTAACAAACTGGTTGAAGATTTAAAGTGAAGTTATAAAAGAGTTTTCACTACTTTATGACGAGAACCTAACTCGTCCTCCCAATACGACGTGTAAATACGCCGTGAAAATTGGGGAAAATATTTAGCCTATTATGTTTGTTAACTAAAAAGACTTTTTCTAAATGTTTTGAATGACAGCTTAGCTAATAGAAAACGGCTCTTTACACGCGTTCAAAAACCTTCTAAACGTGTGAAAATGTCTAAATTGTGGATAGGTGGTAGGATTTTATTTACTGGAAACTTTGGAATAAAATGAACTGACTTAAAGGTAAAAAAAAAATAATATATTTTTAATTATTTTCTTTAGTATTGTTTGTTTATAAAGCGGATACAGGTAGTAGCGTTGAGAAAGTCCAGTAATGTAGTTTGAAGTCTGACCGTGCGATGGGTAGTAGTAATATTAGTCAGTGTCAATCTGCTTGGTTCGTGTTTTTCTAGGCCCGAAGCAGGGTAAAAATATCATTAGCAGATGAACTCTTAACTACTTCTTCACGCGTCACGTATGACTGGTTTCTCCACGGTAGGGTCTTTTGTCGTCACTCTCGCCGTCCCTTATGCTTATTGCTCAGAGGTGCCAGCTTATATCCTTTTGACCAGGCTCCGAGAATCTGGCGCGAACATTGGTAACATCTTTGTGTCAATTTTTTTGATTGGCCAAAATTATTTTATTTTCCTTTTTTTATAATGGAAGTTATGCGTGGAGCCTCACTGATTTTTGTTAGTTTTCAGTCATATAATTAGTAGGCTCTGTTCCTGCAAACTTCCGGCGTTCAGGCTTTTCTTCTTCCTCCTTTTATTTAAGGGTTGCCTTCTAGCTAGTTGAGACAAGAACAGAAAGAGAAAGACAGAGTGAGAGAGAGAATGAAAGAGTTAAGGGCTCTCAAGGAACGCGAAAATGCTTTATTTTAATTTTAATTCTTTTTATTTCTTTTGTTTATATATTTTATTTTTATATATATATATATTTTTTTTTTTTGGTTTATATTGGGACACACTACAAAGCTA